AACCCCTACCCTCACACAGCATGGGAGACTCTGTTAGCCTGGTGGGACCTTTTGGTTTAGTGACGCAGAGTGGAGAGGTGGAAGGACTCGCGGATCCACAGGTAGAGAGGAGAGTAGGGAGGGGAAGGACAGGGCTTCAGGGATGGGGGTGAGCAGAGTTCTGAGCTGGCTCGGGATCAATTTCAGGGTGCATAAAAGAAGGTGGGAGAAGAGTGGTTGAATGGCCTAAGAATTGCTGTTAGAAGTTTTGGGAAATAAAAGTAAATGCCTGGAGGTATTTAAAAATAATTTTATTTACAGTTTTCCATAGATAACACATTTACATGATGCAAATTTTAAAAGGGCAAAAGCTTTTACAGTGGAAAGTAAGTCTTCTACCTATTCCGGTACCTCAGTCACCACGTTCCCCTGGTGGATTACTCTGTTAATGAGTGTCCTTCCTTCCTTCTCTACCTCCCTCTTTCCCCCTCCTTCTCCTTATCTCCCTTCTACTTCCTCTATTCTCCATCTCCCTCTCTCCTTCCTTCCTTTCTCTTTTTTTATCAGAAATGGTAGCTTACTATACATAAAATTCTGCACCTTTAAAAATTATCTTAAATTGCAGCATTATCCACAACAGCCAAGTGGTAAAAGAAACCTAAATGCCCATGCATAGATGAATTGATAAAGAAAATGTGGTATATACATACAATGGAATACTATTCAGCCTTAAAAAGGAGGTAAATTCTGTCATGGGCTAACACATGGATAAACATTGAGGACATTACATGAAGTGAAACAGCCAGTCACAAAAAGACAAATAGTGCCTGATTCCACGTATATGCGATATCTAAAGTGGTCAAACTCATAGACCACTTTACGTAGTCAAATTCCTAGACTACAAAACAGAATGGTGGCTGCCAGGGTTTGCGGGGAGGAAGGGGCAGAGGGTTGTTATAGAACAGTGATGGCGAACCTTCTGAGCTCAGCGTGTCAGCATTTTGAAAAACGCTAACTTAACTCTGGTGCCGTGTCACATATAGAAATTTTTTGATCTTTGCAACCATAGTAAAACAAAGACTTATATTTTTGACATTTATTTTATATATTTAAATGCCATTTAACAAAGAAAAATCAACCAAAAAAATGAGTTCACGTGTCATCTCTGACACGCGTGTCATAGGTTCGCCATCATTGTTATAGAGTTTCAGTCTTGCAGGATGGGGGGTTTCTGGGGATTTGTTGCACAATAATGTGTATGAGTTGACAGTATCATACTCTACACTAGAAGCTGTTGGGAGAGTGAATTGTATTTATGTGTTTATCTTAAGGACTGTTTCATATTAATCATTCCTTTGAATTACGGATGGACCTCACTTCATTCATCCAGTGGCCTACTAACGAACTCTTAGTTTGTTTCTAATCTCTTTTCAATGCATCGTGTATGAGTTGACAGTATCATACTCTACACTAGAAGCTGTTGGGAGAGTGAATTGTATTTATGTGTTTATCTTAAGGACTGTTTCATATCAATCATTCCTTTGAATTACGGACGGACCTCACTTCATTTCATCCAGTGTCCTACTAACGAACACTCAGTTTGTTTCTAATCTCTTTTCAATGCTTGAATGAAAATTCTTGGACATTTGAGGGTCTGAATTACTTTAACATTACTTTTGCTTGCTGGACTACATTTCCTTGGCCATGACAAAGCTGAGACTGCTGCCCCACACACACTTTAGGTATAGTTCCACCTCTGAATCTTTGTTCAGTCGCTCCCCATGTCTGAGAGTTACCTTGCTCTCTATTTTTCCTAATTCTTCTCCTTTGTTCAGGAGCCAGTTCAACACTTGAGGCTAAGCATGGCGCTCACAACACACGGGTAACTCTCCTCTGAACCCAGGACACTGCTATCATCACCACTCATGAGGGGATTCCATCCAAGTTTGGACTTCTGCTGGCATGGTGTTCAGACAGGGCAAGCAGTAAAACAATTCCAGCTATTAAATACTGGATTACTTCCATATCTACCGGGAAACCTAGCTTTCCTGGGTCCCCTGACAGCTCCTGTAGCCCCAAACCCTTCCCGGAAGTTCTCCTCTCCCCACAGCCTTCTCATAAGACAACTACACGGCCAGCACCTGACTTAGCAGGGAGCCTCCAGGACGCGGTCCGTGGCATTGGGGCCGATGTGCCTCCGCCCTAGTCAGACTCCTTTTAAGTACTTTAGATATATGATTAATTTCACGGGTGAGGTCTTGTCTTTATTTCTTTGGTACTCCTCATAGCACCTATCACGTGAAACATTATTTAGCCAGTACTCTGTAAATACTTATTTCATGA